GTCTGGTGAGAACATCTAGAAAAAAAATAAAACCCATTTTGACAACTCACTGCCCTTTCTGGATGGAGGTCTATTGGAGAGGGGGAGGTGACAGCAACAATGCCAACTTCTCTGTGCTTCAATTCTTGTGCAAACCGGGATGGCAAAATTTTGATGCCAGGAAGGTACCAGGAGTATTTGGTGGTACTTGAACTTGCCTGGTAATATCTCCTCTGAACAGGCTCTGAACTGTAGCTGAGGATCAACTCTAGCATCAGGATTCAACAGCGAGGCTTGGCCTCTCTGTAGGAACACTGCCCGAGAGAAAACGGCTTCAAATTCCCTGACAAAGAGCGACTCTAGAATTAAAACCTGGCATAACTGACAACATTACAAGTTTGGGGCACAAAATTCTGTGCCAATATATGTTTTCATAGCAATTTTATCACAGAATCATAAAATAATTAAGGTTGGAAAAGACCTCTAAGATTATCAAGTCCAACCGCAGAGTGGAGTATAAACAGAGATAATTAGTGAATATAACACTTTGGGAAGCCAGAAGACTTGTTTTTAATAAACTGTAAAGTAGCTTTCCTTGAGAGGTTTTCTTTCACCAGTCTAAATATTTAATATTATACTCATTGTCCTTGTTTTTAGAGAAATACTTTAATGAAGCAAAATGGGTACTTGCAAACCACTGGTTGTCACAGGAGCATGACTTTGGAGATCATTAGAAGAAATAGAGAACCACTTCTGCAATAGGTCCCAGTCTACAGGATTTTGTAATTCCTCCCAGCTGTCAGGGGTGTAGGAAATCCATGGAGTATAGGACTGTTACATTACCAAATTTCCCAAGACTGTTTTTTTATTTCTTTCTCCTGGCTACACCTTTTCCACTGAATTATTTTCTTAGTTTTTAACTAAACAAAAAAAAAAAACACATAAATGTATTTGCTAAATATGTATCCTTTATTATATGCATGATAAACATCTAATTATTTTTCATATTATATACATAATAAAGAACTGTGAGGGCCCACTAGCCATAGAATATAAATTATGAAATTAAATATATTGATTTACCAACATAAAAAAAATTTGCAGTGAATTTCTATAATTAACCAGTATGTGACAAGGAGAAAATAATATGCCACTAGTTTGTGGAGCTGCTTATTTTGAAGAGCAAAAATGCTAAATGCTTGACTTCATGTCTCCTTATTCTGAGGGGGTTTTTCTTCTCTCTTTTCAGCCTTGTCTAAATTACCGGTACCAAATTTACAGCAGTGCACAACAAAATTATGCACTCCTTAAGAAAAGCCCAGATTTCTAGAGCAAGGAAGTATGCAGTACAGCATAAGGAAAGGGAATTCAGGTATGGCATTTTGTGATACCACTGGAAGATAACAGTAAGGGGAAGGTTTTCAGAGGAAGAATATCTGTTTCATGATTTGTACAAAACAAAAACTAAGCCTCTGATATTGCTATTAGAGATACTAAATTTGGCACCGGGTATATTCTCTTCTTTTACTGTTTCTCTGATTTGCCTTGACTTTATGATGTTTGTTCATATATAACCGTAAGCAAGAGAAAACAATAGGCTTTACCTTTAACTAGCAATGTATCTGGATAAGGCTCAAGTCATGCAGAAACTGAAACCACCCTGGAAATCCTGGGAAATCTGCTCTCACTGTTACAGCTATTAGTATCCTTTCAATTATTTCAGTCCCAGATTCAGGAAAATTTCTCTATTTATGACAATCATAATCATAAATTTCGTTGTGTCATTACTTAAAATTAGCTATCCAGAACTCGCTTGGCTCAATAAGGATATTAAATCAGATAGTTAAGTGCTTCTCAGCTTCTCTTTTTTTTTTTTTTGTCCCCCGTAAAAGTGGCTTTAAGTTTCCTGCCATGCAGCATATTCTGGTCAGAACATGATTTCTTTGTTTCTGAAATTTTTGCCTTTCTGTCTAATAAGTTGTGTTTTAATAATGATTCACGATTATGTATCTACTACTACATCTTAAAAAATTCAGTTGTAAACAAGGTTTATTGTTCCTGATTAAAAATAGTAAGTCCTCTTAAACACAGCTAGCAGGTTTTGTCTATCAGGTGTATCAAAGTACACACTGAACAGGAATTCTGCTAGGTTTGTGAGCGTTCAGGATCTTTCATCTTGGGTGGTAAGGAGTAGAGCTTTTTCAGAATTAGAGTTTGGTGAAGGAGAATAACTTTGATATTTTAAGATGCCTAACGTATTCCTTAACTGGTTTTTCTTTAATTTTCTTACATTTTTGCAAAGTTACAGCTACACAACGTGTTCCGTCAAAGAGTGCATTTGTGTAGACTGTTTCAGTAAAGCTCATTAGAATAGGCTTGATTTTAATGAAATGAATAATCTCATTCTAAAAACAAAGAATTCAAGAGTGAATTTGAATTCAAAGAATTCAAATATTTCAAAGTGAACTTCAAGAGAAAAAAAGGCTGAGCTTGAAGTTAAGTTTATCCTTCAAAATTTTACTGAACTGGGGCCCTAGCACAAGCTTCAGACTGCCAAGACCTGCCAGGCTGTGCAGACCTGAATCCCCAAGCACATTTTGGCAGCTCAGATCAGGACTGCCTTCCACCTGAGGATCAAGATCGACTCAGAACTCACATTTTGAACCACAAATTTCCCCACACAGACAGTTATAGGCACACATGTATATGCAGAAGTAACTTCATTTGAGGAGTCAGATGCTTTGTTCCTATCTAATTTAACACAATAGAGACCCAAAGCAAGAAGGAACTGTGAAGAAACAGAAGGCAAATTACTGGAGGACATTAACTTTCCTCTTTTTCCTGTTTGTTGAGCTGTCTCCAGCTATTACTGACTGAAACATTCCTGGTATTCCCATTATTTTTTTACCCCTAGAGACCCTCTTCCTCCAAGAGGTCAAACTCTGCCTGTGACCAAACCTTACCAGAGCAGCAGTTTGTTGTAACCTCCCCTGATCTGGTTGAACTTGCATTGACTGCACTTGCCCAGCACAGAGCAGCAGCCTGGGCATTTTTGTCCAAAACCATAGCTGGAGGACCTGCTGTCTGGTTTTTCTACAAATCCTAGATTTTTAGAGCAGCAGAAGGCTTGAGACCAAATCTCTTTTCACTCTAAACAGTTTTGACACTATAACTCCCACTTCCCAGAAGAAAATCCAAGTTACCAGGCTACACGAAGGAAAACTGACCACTCTTCTTTCTCAAAATGAGAAGATGAGTAGCAAGAACAAGCCAGAAGCAGAGAAAGTGAACGAGAGTACGATGTGGTAACATCATGAATGACGACATGCAGATACGAGCAGTATGGGTCCAGATTTTAATTTCCCTAGATAATTTGGGGGTTTTATTCACCAGGTGAAATATAGAAACCAAATGATTGCATTAGCTGGAGCTGCATTAAATGTCTGAATTAGAATATATTATTTTAAAATAATATAACTACAAGTGGTAATCTAAATATAACTGTAACCACGCAATATGTGTAATTGAAATAGAGCACTGTGTTGGCAAAACATTAGACTGTTTCCTAGCTCTAAGCCGCATGGATCAAGTAAGCGGCAATTGTAAAGCTTTTGCATTAACTTATTGAAGCTTCTGTTGCAGCTTATAGAGAAGGCAGTTACACTGAAGCCAGCTCAGCTAAGTGTTTTTTGAGTAATAGCATGTTGTTTCCAACTCTCTTGCCTAATTAAAGACCCAAATATTATTCTGCTGAAGTTGATGACAGCGCTCACTTGACATCAAAGGGAATTCAGATCTGCTGTTCTTTTACGGATAATTGTTTTTATCATATTTTTAAAAATAAGCAAGGCAATTCACAACACATAACATGGTAGCACTTTTGTCTCAAGGTGATGGCAGACTCCAGTTCTGTCATGCCTCACAGCTCTCATCTGAAGCCAAGAGATCAACTCAGTACTGAGGTTGTAGTGTGTGAAACAAGTTATGGTCACCCCCAGAGACACCAGCTCTGACTGGAACCTAGTCCTGCTGTACAACTGGCAAACATGCTAGAAGACTGAGGAGCCTACGAACTAAAGAGAAAAGGATAAAAGATCTCCATCGCACAGATAAAAATCGAGACAAGAGCAGACTGGCTCACCTGAAGTCACACAGTAAAGCAGAGGAAGGATCACTGGGTTTATCACTGAAAATCCAGGTGGACTATTTGGGTGGAGATGGCACTTCGACCTTCCTGAGAAAAATTCTGGCTTTATGCTACCTTACATCATCTCTGAAATAAAGAGAAAACAATCAAGTGAGAAACTTCCTCTCTCCAAATTCTGTACCTAGTACTTTTTTTTGTCAGAGTTAACTGAAGCTAGCCTACAAGCAGAAAGCTGTTCGTTAGTGAAAGAACTGGGAAAAAATAATGGTCACACCTGAGCCTCAGAACTCTTTGCTCCCAAATAAGTGGGAAAATGGAGATAGAAATATAGCTTTAAAACTACTATAATACTAATTGATAAATGTTCTCCAGATGAAATGTTGCACAGTAACATCTGTAACAACTCTATGGCCAGGGAGTGGGGTGGAAATTGAATTAAATAAGACTAAATTTTCTTTCTCAAAAAAATACATTATAACTTCAATTATTGGAAGGAAATATTTTTGCAGTTACTTTAGAGTTTCTTCTCTACTGATATCTGCTACTTTAGCCATAGTATTTTAAGATAACTCTAAAGGAAATTGTCCTGTGTGAAACCAAACTGTAGACTGTATTTTATATTTTAATGAGGATTGTTTCACAAAATATTCAGTTATGACTAATGAGATATTAGCAATGAATGCACTGGAGCTGACAGATGGGAAGATAGTCAACTGTCTAAATCGGAAGATTTTCAAAGTGCAGTAAAAATATTATTAAGCAACACTTCTCTATCTTAATGCCAACCTGTACTCTAGGGAATTGGTCAAAGAGAAGATCATGAAAAGCTTTTTGGGAGCAGCTAAATTCTACAGCTGTGGTCTTTGTTTTCTAGTACTTTGCAAGAACAGAAGGGGGAATTACGAAAGCGTCTATCGTACACTACCCATAAGCTGGAAATGCTTGAAACGGAGTTTGATTCTACACGTCAGTATCTTGAAATAGAATTAAGGCGTGCTCAGGAGGAACTTGAAAAAGTAACAGAAAAACTGAGAAGGTTAGTAACTAACTTTTTGGAATAAAGAAAGTTATTAGGAATTTACAAGTTGCTGTGTTAGAGACATATATAAGAAAAAATATAAGCACATAGTCTCAAATATATAACATTTATTGATTAGACATTATGTTTTCACATTGAATGTATATATGTCGTGTACCAAATACTACAAACCACATGAAGTTATTTACATGTGATATGTAAAATGTCTCTGTTGAAATAAATATGCAAATAGAAATAAATGTAGATAGGCACATATATGACATTGTTTATGTGTAAATATACATGTGGGTTCGTGCCACATTGTATTACACATACAAAGGTTACACACTGCATACACATATATAGACACACACACACTTATACTGTATATGTCCAGGTAAATGTTTTTTCAGTGTTTGGCTGCATATTTTCTGTTGTTACTCTCCATTGCACTGATGCAAGAGAATAGAATTTGGGCCTCCATCACTCAAAGCTGAGACTATGTTCAATTCAAATAATACTATGACATTTCACATTACGCTATAACGAATAATTTGGGTTTTAGTCTCATGTAGAACTGAATGATACTGAAAACCTGAAAATTTGAAATTGCTGAAGCTGTGGTACAGGGCTCTTGGAAATCAGGGACCATATTAATTACAAATTATAATAAGCATGCATTCCTGACATGCCTGGCACTGATTAAAATGATCTGTAATCTAGCTTTAAATTTACCAGTGATTCTTAATAATAATTTTTTTCATATGTTTGCAAAACTTCTGAACTTACAATTACCCATTTATGCAGGAATGTGTTTGCATTTCTTGTGAGGACTTTCCTAAACTGATGTAGATAATTGAACTGTTTGATTTAGTTCATTGGATGAGTTAAAATGAAATTAAGAATGAATCATTCCAGGGCTATACCCAAAGAAATATTTTTCCTTCGTTGCAGAAGGTAAAAAACAAACTAAAACAAAGCCAGAAACCACCAACAAACTGAGTCAACCAAGCCACCTCATGCAAATTTCAAACAGAGTGATGGTCTTACAACTTAACTGCTTCCCTGTCTGGAGAGGCTTCCTAAAACAAGGCCAAAGCAGATGTCATGATGATCTTGATATCTACACACATCTGTCAAGAGCAGTCTGAAGGTTCTCCATATTGTTTTCTTGCCAACAATATTTTTTCCTATCACTTTGCTTAGACCAGAGCTATTGAAGGTAACTTTGCTCTTGATATAGCTTTGTTCTGATATTTTTGTAGTTTAAGGCCAGGAAGCACTGGTAGTCTTTTCTCCTGGAACTTTATGTTAGGCATGGCTGCCATAAATCCTGTGTCATATTTAGCAGAGAGGTTGAGCATCCCACTTCTGTTAAAGCAAAGGGTCTTCCTTTGTCAGTAGGATGCCCCTTATCAAGATCGTTGGGCACTTGAGCATTTGAAGCTCCCTTCAAAATTTTAGAAAGTGTTTTTTTGGTCATGGCCAAGTCTGGTACTTATACCAAACATCAGATTAGTAAAGCTGAGATTCCAATATTCTAAAGGAACATTGTACCATATAATGAAGAAAACTTATATTCAAAATTATGTTTCAGGCAGGTGAATATTCCCCTGAAGACATATCATATTGGAAGCCCAAAATATTTTACGAGGTGAGCTTTAAAAATGTTTCTATTGAGAATAGCAAGGCATTCCGCAAGTTAAACAACTAGATTTCTCAACCTGGAGAAGGATAATGTCTGAAGCAAAACTGTCATCCAAAAGCGTGTCAGCAACATGTCACAGAGGAAAATCAGGAACTTGAAGTAGTTTCAATAATGTGTCTCTTGCTTTATTTTCTGCACAGGGAGAGAAATTCAACCCCTCTAATAAATAAGTCTTGTGTAACAAGATCCCACTGGCATACTGGAGAATATTTCTGTAATTAAACTTCCATTACTGTTAAGTGCAGAACTCTTCCAAGTGACTGAATGGCCATCCTTATTTCTGAAAGCCTTTATTGTCTTTATTTATCCAGAATTACCTGTGTTGTTGCTAGGCTTCCCCTCTAATATCCCAGCAGGGAGATCATTTATGTGGTTTGATAATCAAGTTTTTGACCTCTCTGCAAATATTTAGAGGTGAGCTTTTTCTTTGGGCCCAGTGGGAGTAAGATCAGGGCTTTGCTGAGTGGTTTTGAAAATATTAGCTTTAAAGCATAGGTTAGGCTTTGAAAAGTGATTGAAAAGAGATTGGGGATTTCCTACACCTCACAGTGATCCCCTGTCTGACATGATCAGTAAAATTTAAGTGAAATTTCAAAAATATTCAAATATCAATCTTGGAACCAAAAACTGTTCTCCAAAGGTCACTCTGGGTTTCTTATTTTAGACCTTACTCTGGGTAAAAACTTGGCGAGGTCCATGCCCTAGCTTTTACCAAAAAGCAATTATTCTAAGACATAAGAAATAAACACATACAAGCTTCTATTCAGCACAGAGATTAGCCCCCACACATAACTGTTTCACCAAAAGCAAAGCATTTCACAGACTGAAGGGGTGTTCTGAACAGGTATCCCATAGCTGTATTAGTTTTTGAATTAATGGCGGAAAACCTCACTTGCTTTCATAAAGGAAGTCTGTGTAACTTTGGAGAAACAGCAGAAAAAAAAATTTTTAACAAGAAGTTGCTATTTTAACAGTCCTTCTCCAAAGCTAAACTGCACTCTGGGTGAAATTGTCTTTTTTAGAGAAAGTGGCCTAAGCCTATGTTTTAGTTCAAATATATTTCATGGCCTTGAAAGGGCTTGAGACTGAGTGGAAGCAGAGAAATAGGGGCTTTCACAGATTTCCTCTTTAGTGATGATCTGCAATCTTAGAGAGGAGTGTGTATTTGCTGGGTTAGAGTACAGATATGTAATATTAAATCTGGTCAGAATACTTTTCATCAGGCTCTAATTTAGTTGAGAATCTAAACATCCATTTAATGCATGTATATATAAGCACCTGGAGGCACATGGGTATCACCTAGTAATATGAACGACAAAGAAAAGCTATCAAAACTGATAGTAAGTTATTGAGTCACGGAAACTTATTCTTAAAACGCTTTCACAAAGTAGGGAAGCTGACCTATTCTTAACTTCATTTACAAAGAAGCCAGATGTACAACATTAAAACACTTCATACTTCACAAGGTTCAGGCTATCTGTGCCCTGTAAACAGGGTTAAGTTTCCATTTGCTCACCTGATCATTTTCAAATTGGAATAATTTTCCCTACTCCTTCTCTATTTTACAGTGTTGCCCAAAGTTTGATTTGATCATCCTGTTCCTCTTTTACCCCTTTAAAACTTTCTTCCACATAATTCTGGGACCATTTCTCTCCTTGCCATCCACATTTGCTGACACTTCTTTTGGCACGCTGGACTTCTGATTTCGGTTTTACGTGTATATGTGCATGTGTATGTACTTGTGTATGTGTGCACGTGTTTGTGCTTATTTTGACTACCTTTGCATAATGTTCTCAATAGAAACACTTTTTGAAGCTCAGCTTCCAACTTACTTTGGATTTTTTGTTTAGATTGGTTTGATTATACTGGGAAGTTGTCAGTTTTTTCAGTGGAAAATGAATGTGCTGGAGAACTAGGGTTTGTGGGCTACTTTCACTAAAACATACCACAGAGGAAAATTTCACGGGCAAAGCCAAAAGAAGTTTCAAGCAGAGAAGTAAACTGTAATAAGCTCGTGCAAAATCTCTCTATCTTCTATGGTGTGCGAGTGTTGCTAGCGACGAACAATTATATTAATCATAGAATCATAGAATCATAGAATCATAGAATGGCCTAAGCTGGAAGGGACCTCAGAGATCATTTTAATCCAGCCTCCCTGTCGCCAGGGACGTCACCTCTCGACTAGATCAGGCAACACATGGGGACCAAATGGGAATCGAACCCACGACCTTAGCATTGTTAGCGTAACCAGTCTTAGAGCCATCCGTATCAGGATAGAAACAGTGCCAACAGAAGGTGATAAGAAAACCCAGTGATGCGTTACCACCATCATTACCCAGATATCCAAGTAACAATGACTGCTAGTAATTCATAATCTTAAAGATATGGAAAGGGAACCCTCAGTGTCTCACTTGAGATTTCCCCATAAATCTACACTGCAGAGTAGACTGGGGTACAGAGGTCTGAGCTAGAAAAGTCCTGAACCAATAATTTTTTACCCTTTTCTTTCAGGAATTTATGCAGATACTTTTGAACCCATGCTAACTTTTAGCAGATTGCAGATACTAGAAGTTTATGTTGGTTTCACACTGTCTTTAATTAGGCCATGAGCTGCAGAGCTGCAAAGCATGTTTAACTCTTGCCTTACTATAGAAAAGCTGCAGATCATGACAGACAAAACACTGGGACAGCTCTGGCCTCAGCCAGCATGCCCTATCTTATTTTTCTAAATCTTTGTTATCTGCATCACGGCACACAGCCTTACCAGAAAAATGTAACTATGTTAGCGCTGAGTAGCTGTTTGCAGGTAAAGTCAGTTTAAGCCCACTTCCTTCCATCGGTTTATCAAGATCATCTCTGCCTTCTCCTTTGCCATGAAAAGCTGGGTGCAAGGTACCCTAAGACTTTTTTTCTTGTGTTGACTCTGGTTAAATAACTGTAAAAATCCCAAGTACACCTAAAGCTGCAGATATAAATGTCTATACAGAGGCTTATTGGCTGCATCTAACTGGAGCATGGACAATGCAGAGATCTGTAAACTTCAGTGAATTCTTTGATTCACCTGGATGTTTACAGAATACCTCTGTGAGAACTGTTGAGTAATGACCAAGTTGAATGTTAATGCAAATCTCACAGATTTTCAGCCCATTTGGGTGACCACCCTAGCAAACACCCTGCACTACAGATCTTCCTCACAGGGAAGAAATCTCTGCTGAGCAGGTCTATAAAATGTACACGATGCTGAAACTTCTCCCAGGCTCACAATGCACGTTTGAAACAGCTGCCCTGAGTCTGGGCTTACCCTCGGTACCCTGGGGAGTTTCACCCATGGGGATGTCATCACTCATGCCCACAGAGCAGCTGTCCTCAGCACAGCCCTGTCCTCTCAGTCTGTGCCGCAAATGTTATGGTATTACTGGGGGCCCTAGTAGAAGCTCTGTGTGCCTTGCAAGGGGCACCAAGTGTCGCTGGACTGCCCCTGAATGGAGAATTTTGATCGTTTAACTGGAAGGAAAATCTCCACGGCAACAGGAGCAGGGAGAGGCACTTCACTGCCAGAAAGGGGTGGGCTGGACCCCTCGATTCACAGCCATGGCATAGTTCAAATGTGTGTCTTTGTTCCGACTTCAACAGCCACTTGCAACCTTGCGACAAACCAAAAAGACAACGTTAATCCCAGTCCCTTCCTGATCATTATAGAAACTACATCCAGATCCAGGCTTCTCAGAGGAACAGACTTTCAGTTGAATAAACATGCATTACATCTGAGATCACTTGTACAGTGAATACCCATGCCCGTTACCTAAAATAAACTCACCACTGAAAATTCTTCAACCAATGGACCTAAGATTCCCAGTACAAACATATAGAAGTATTCAGACAAACTTTTCACAGATAAACTTTACTTTACTTTTGTTATACATCCTGCTGAGGTGATATGTACAAACAAGAACAAGGAGCTACCCTCCTTACCTTCTGCAAAGAGAAAGGCACAGCTACTACCAAAACAGAGATGTTTTTCCCACAAGCTGCACAGCTTGTTCATTACCATACCAATGCTAAACAACTTAAAGATGTACAGACTGAAAATTTTCTTTGATGTATTGCTCTGGAATAAGCAGAGAAGTCTCATTTTATGAGTACGTACAATCCTTCAGTGTTGATAAAAATAAATAACCACCTTTTCCAGGCTAAGCTATCTAAACGTATTTCCTGAAGAAAGATGATGTATTTAGCTCCTGAGAATACTCAATCCCTTGAACTTCTGTCAAAAGAAGGAATTTTCTAAGTCATGTGATGATGCCCATGTTTTGCTTTTGTTACAGTCATTAGGTTTCTGCTGCAATTCTCCATATTAAGAAAGCTCCATAAATCTTTTCTTGTACTTTCAAAGCATGCACCTCAAGCCTCCTCTCTGATACATTATCCAGAGCCTAATGTAAAGCTACGATCTCTTTGTGCAAGTTTCCATGCTGTGATGCATGTCTGCATACAAGTGTAGAATGCCAAACATATTTTCACTTCCTGATGGAATTTGTTGCTAAATATGGGAAGCAATCTTGACAAAGAAATTTTGCTTAGGAAGTAGCCGGCAATTACATTTCAAAGGCAACCACTGACCAGCAACAGGAGTGATAAGAAAATAGGTTTCAAGTAGTGCAAGTCAAGGTTTGTACTGATGTGAAAATTACAGGTAAAAGAACAACACAAAACTCAATGCATTCAATTACATGATATCATCTTTGTTTTAGGATACAAAACAATTATCTAGCCTTACAAAGAATTAATCAGGATCTGGAGGATAAACTTTACAGAATGGTAAGTTACCATAAGTAAACTTTATTTTTTTTTAATAGTAGCTGTGGATTTATGGTTCTTAAGTTACAGGACAAATATATATATAGCTGTAAGAAGAAAACTTCGTTCTCCAGATGCAGTATTTTTAAAAAAGATATATGGCTTTATCAGTACCACGATCTAGAGCTCAAGCTGCGTACGACAGCATAGTTCCATCAATTTAAATGGAGATTGCATTGGCTGATGAACAAGATGAGTAAATTATACTTTTAAATAATTTTGGTTAATTTAGTTAATAACTTCATAGGTTTTAAATATTTATGTTTTCATTAAGTAACATATTAATATAAGGTAATCCAAGGTTTTCTCGTGTTTCTTAGATACTTTCGTTCAGCTTTTATTAAGTGATTTAGTGGAGCTTGAATGGTCTGACTTTTATATGCTGTCATAACTATCAATCTCTGTGTATTAATTTCCAATCTGCATGTGTCTGCAACCACAAAGTCAATGTCTCTGTGGCAGGCCAATTAGTAACTGAGTGAGGAAACCACTGCACCATTTATGGGCTTCCCATCCAGGGCTAATATTACAAGACACAGACAAGATGTGAGAAAGAAATAGCAATGCCTTGAGTGCCCTGACTCACTGCTAATGCTGCTGGGACATACACACTGTTAGGAGAATATTTGAGGAGAAGTGTGAAAGTAACGTGTAAAGAGGAAAGAATGACAGTTTAGAACTTCCAAAGATGTTCGGGTCATGAGCACAGCCTGAGCCTCTCCTGACTCGGTACAAGCAGTCGTTCCCTGCTCTCGTTTTCCAGCTCCACACCCAGGGTGGCCCCAGCGAGCAGAGTGCACACACAAACCCATGGTTTTTAGGCCCAGATAGAGTTTGAATGTACAGCTGTAAGGATGCTGAGGTACTCCTGCATTCTACACGAGTCTCATATGGAACATCTGCACGGGTGGGCAGCTTGGGATGAGGGGAGCAGCTTATTGTGCTCTGAGAGTAAATAGAGACTATGACAACACGTCAGAGAGACACCAGCCTGTACTAAGAAATGGGAAACAAGTTTTTGAAAATGTCATTGTTCTTATCAGTCTGTTTAAACAGCTGACAAAGAATAGAGAGTACTGATGTGTTTGTAACTGGCTAACGGCAAAGTTACAACTGGATTATAGCTGATATTTGTTCCAGAATATATGTATAAACACCGCACAAGCATAAATAACATTTGATCTCATGTTATTTTTTTTCTCTATTCTTCCTTTGTTGTATTCATTTTCCTTTTACCCAAAACACTGGGATATAGTCTTTATCTGTGGCCTAATATTTATAACATATGAACTACAAAAGATAAATAGAGGCATTCCAACCAGTAAATGAAATAAAAATATTAGAAACATAGACAGGAGGACTCCAGAAAAATCCATGCTTTTTTATCACGTATTTCAGATCAAAGCAAAGAATTTTTAAACTGCTGTTTCAGTATCCACTTAAAACTCTGAGAAATTATTTCAGAGCACAACACGGAAAGAAGGAAGATTGGTTCCATGGAGCACTGTGCCTTTCTTTATCCCACTGATACAACAGTCATTGAAGGTAGCATTAGAGGCTTGAATAAGATCAGCCAGGCTCTGCACACCTCTTAATTCCAGACTGATTTTCCTTCTGAAATATTGAAGCTGAAGGTACAAAACAAAACAAATCAAATGTCAAATGAAATTCTTAAAAGCAGAAAGATTAAAAAATAGTACCATATTTGATTTAGATAAGCCAAAACATTTGATTTTCAGGACACTTCAAAAACCCTCAGTTAAAAAAAAAATTAATAACAAACAAACAAAACCAAAAAAGACACCAAAAGTCAATTAGAAGAAATCCTCCAATTAACAATTAAACCAATCCCTAAGTTAGAAGAAAGTTGAATTAAAAAAACCTGGTTAGTCAACAGTCTATGATAGAGTGGGCTCTTGGATACCTACTTCCTCCCTCTTGCTTAGAAAGAATAGAAGTATTTATTTTTTATCTAATTTAGTCAGTATGTCACTGCAAAATCAAAAGCCTGTGATTTCTCTACCTTTATAGAAATCCAAATATATAAACCACTTGTTTACTTTCTCCTTCTTTCCCCTACCTCACCCCTCTATACAGAAACACAAATGCTTACACACACATACACATATATATACTCATATTCTTATACAAATTTTTACTGTTTGATCTGTCCAGATGCAACAAGTAGGGAAAAGAAGAGCCCAGGGCAGTGGTCCCTTGCTCCTCTTGCCTGCAGGTGATCTGGGATGCTCTCAGGTGACCACTTTCTCCCTGTCCTTACAGGTGACCCCCAACTCCCCCTGCTCCCAGTGCCCAGACCCAGCTCACCACAAATAATCTAGGATTTCACCTTGGCCTCCCTCTTCTAATGTTTTTGGGTATCTTGAATTTTGAAGCCTTTCATGCATGTTATTGGTATAAGGGATGTGAAAAATAATCATTAATTCATCAGCATTCAAAAAAAGAAGCTGAAACAGCAATTGTTTTTCTTCTAGGCTCCACTTCCTTTTGAGTGCTAATCCATAAAATATTTAAAAATATTTGAAAGTACACTTCTGATCACAGCAAATGGTATCCAGTTGAAACCTCTGTCACATGAGAACTTGAAATAAAAGTATAAAATACAAACTGCACTCTCTTTGTTGGCTAAGAGCTAAAAAATGCAATCCTAAAATCAGGGGAGAGTTTGCTGTGTTGAACTGTCCAAGATTAAGCACATGGCACAGTGGAAGCAGATGTAGAACAGAACTAAAATTCAGCTGTCACTATTGATAAAATTTCTGTTCTTACCACAGTCTAGATTTTGACTGGAGATCTATTTTGTGTTGTAAATATTGGTTAAGCAGGGGAATATGCAGGCTGCCTTCTTAAATAAACTCTTTTTTTTCCATTAAGATGTGGGAAAAGACTAAGCAGAGTCCTCAAATTTTGTGCTGCGATTCCATCATAGGAAGGTTCTAGTAAAGAACTTTTTAATAATGTATAGTTCCAATTGTCACCAGTAGTCTTCACTTTCCCTTACACTTGTCTGAGTTTCCCAAGGATGATCTACCATGTCTTGTTCCTCACAAATAGCAATTACAAGCAGATAATGCAAGTCATCCCAATCACATAACATAAAATCCTTTATATGATCTCACAGAATCACAGAATGTTAGGGGTTGGAAGGGACTTCGAAAGATCATCTAGTCCAACCTCTCTGCAAAACATGATCACCAGGACCCCCGGGGTCCCTTTCCCCTACGCTGCTCTCCAACAGGTCAGTTTGCAACCTATTCTGGTACATGGGGTTGTTCTTTCCCAGGTGCAAGACTCTACACTTGCCCTTGTTGTATTTCATAAAAGTTTTCCCTGCCCAACTCTTCAGCCTACCTAGGGCTCACTGAGTGGCAGCACAGCCTTCTGGTGTGTCAGCCACTCCTCCCAGTTTTGTGTCATCAGCAAACTTGCTGACAGTGCTCTCTAATCCCTCATCCAGGTTGCTGATGAATATATTGAATAGTACTGGTCCCAATACTGACACCTGAGGGACTCCACTAGATACAGGCCTCCAGCCAGACTCTGTCCCACTGATCACAACTCTCTGACTTCTTGCCTTCAACCAGTCCAGAACTCACCTCACTACCTGATCATCCAGACCACACTTCCTCAGTTTAGCTACAAGGATGCTGTGGGAGACAATCTCAGATGTTTTACTGAAATCCAGATAAACTACATCCACTGCACTGCCACCACCTATCCACCTGGTTATGTCCTAAATCTAAGCCCAACTGTATCCCCTATATGATCTTTAATTGAATTAAGCAACATATTTTGAAAAGTTCATGAAGTTTTAAGGCTTTCAGTTGTAACTGAAGTTCTGTAACTTTACCTTTAAAGCCATAAGATGGATTTTTAATGGTATCTACATTTGGAGAAAAGAGATATCTAATAATAGATGCTTAATAAACCTAAATGCTAGGGAAAATCACATCCATTTCTTCTCCACCGCCTGTATTTTGAGTGTCCTTAAACATTTGATCACAGAAATCCCCCTATAAAGATCTCACGAGACATTACTCTCCAGAAATATCCTGAAATGTCTTTTGTAACTAAAACATAACAGTTTGACAAAGAGACTGCTCTATGGTATAAGCTGACTTCTGATGCAAAGTCTTTCAAGAAGCCAGAATGCAAAGCTCTGCTCAATCTAAAATGCATGGAATCTGCATCTAATACCAAATTACACAGGGAGCATTGGAGGTGAATATGGAAGGTGAAAGCTCTACAGTAAGGGAGAGAGCCTTCTGATGGCCAGGTGAACCAGCAGATAAATCACTGCACTCGCTTCGTGAATCCTTACTCCCACATAGCCCTTGGTCTGCCAACACATCTTCCTCAAGCTTTCCAAGTCCTTTTGGGTTTGGTTGCCGTTTTTAAGGAGAGTAATTACTTACTCCTCCCTCAGTGCCAGTGGAGGACCTTTTGGGACCACAGGTGATATGGAATACTGTCAGACATCAGGGATGTGACCAGACTGCTGTGCTGCGAAGTGTAGGGGATGCTGGGCACTGGCTCCACCAGCCCTGCCAGGCTCCTCAGTGCAGCCCCAGCCACTGAGGCTTTGGTCCCCTCCTCTGCAAAGCCAGCATCATCCCTCTGCCCACAGTGCACATCTGTCAAGATGACAGCTGTTACATCACATTAATGGTTTCACTTACATTAAGGCAGGCTGGGGGGTGTGACTCAGCTGTAAAGTTGGAAGAAATTATTACATAAACCAGCTGTAAAGAGCAATTTCTGATAAGGATGCTCAGGTCTGAAACACTGCTCTATGTGAGCACTGCACTGATTTTATTCCTGTTTCTTTCTCTGCCTGTGAGCTGGAGGAGGACTAAGAAGTATAACAAATACTTTATGCTCTATGTTATTAAGAGTTATTTAGCAAGTTCTTCAATATCTGGGGCTTTCCAGTCTGATGG